TAGAGAATCACTGATCTAAATTATAACTTTATATCTTTGTTCTTTCACTCTCTAGGAGTGCATATTCTAGAATTTCCCTCAACTTATTCTACCATCATATAAACATCAGGAGTGAAATGGCAAAGTAAATAAGTATGGACTTACAGTAACATGGTTGGAAACTGGGACAAGTGGGTCAGTCACAGGATAGAGTGGGCGAGTAGGCTGGAACAGAAGATCTTGGTATTCCAGAAAGGCTTGGACAGGCATGTCTCTCTGGGGAAAGGGCACTACTTGCTGGGGAACAGGTGCGATTTTGGATTGAGGGATAGGCACCTGGGGCTGAGGAAGAAGTATGGGAGTCTGAGGAAAAGCCTGGGGGAACTGGGGGACCTGGGGGACCTGTTGCACCACAGGCTGGAGCTGAGGCAGAAGGAGGTGCTGGTTTTGGAGGTCAGTGAGATGTGGGATTTGAGGGACAAATGGGGTTAGCTCTGTTGGTGATTTAAGGAAGGGCATGAGCTTAAGCTTAGAAAGAATGGTCTCTTTAGTTTTGGGGACTTCTGCTATCTCAGGCTGAAGGAGAGACAGCACCATAGCCAGCTGAGAGAGAGTCAGGACGTTTTGTGGAAGGAGGGTGTAAGGCATGAGCTGAGCATAAGGAAGTTGTGGCTGGGCAATGGGGTGGATTTTATCTTGGCATTCATCCTGAAAAAAGAAGAAGAATCTTTCAGTCCATGATTTAACCATAACTGTCATTTACAATCAATTAATCTATTGGACAACTGCAATTGAGTGAAGACAATAAAAGAAAGATTTTCACTTATGTCACTTAAGAAATCATTTTGGCTCATGTAAAGAAAATGAGTAAAATGTTCCTTAAGAGATTTCTTCTTAAACTCCTCAAATTTTTGGTGGATCTGTGGTCCAAACTGAAATCAATGTTTAGGAATTTTCTTGGATTTTTTTGACCTTTTCCTTAGTTATCAGGATAGATGTAATTTATATGCTTTGGTCTTTATACAGCACTGACTTTTCAACCTAAATATGCTAGCAACAGAACAAATTATTTTCATATAATGAAGAGATATCAATTTGGAAAGACTTAGAGGGACACATGTGTATATATTTTCTCTTTCTTTTTGTGAAAAGTCAGTCTGTATTTATGGCTAAATTCAGGGACTCATTAACACTGGCCAAATTCTACCATTACTTCTTTTGGTAAAAGGTAGTTTACTTGAGTGTTTAAAGTGCATTTATTTTTAAATTTTAATTGGTTTTAGAAAATATTTTGTGTGATAACCAAACCTTCTAATAATAAAACAGGAAGTGGAAATATTACAGTTAGGTAAATGTATAAACTGTAGAATTTTGTTATTCAAAAAAATCTTGATTTTTAAGCAAGCTCTGCTACTTAATTAACTGGATGATGTGGTCACATAGTGTGCACTCAATTCTTCTAAACCTCACTTCTCTCATTTGTAATGGAAATATCCTTAAGAATGTCATCATGCAGCCAATAAATATTGTAGTACAATTGACAAAATCTTAATGTCAAATCATTGAATATTCATGGCAAATCAGCTCATCAATACATCAGGGTAGATATTCTTAAGAATATTCTCCATCTACACATTAAGAAAATGAAATACAAAGAAACTTGTGGCCAAGGTTATGTCTGGGAAACAGACTTACACCTTGTCACCTTTATTCTCTTTCATCATCATAACATCTTCAGATTAAGAAAGGAACATAGTTCCCAGTTTGGAGGTATTTGTACTAGTTTGAATTTATTAAAACAGATATACCATTAGTAATATCATTAGATAGTTAATCTCTATTCTAGAAATTGATTATGCATTTAAAAAGCACATTGATGACTTGGAAAATATATTTAACTTTGCCATTGTTTAATTTCTTATATTGATTGGTAGGTACATAGCATTTACTTTGCAATTCTTTAAGCTGAACATATACATTATGAATATTTTATGGTTTATGTTTTATAATAATATTAGAATCCGTCATCATGAAAAATTACCTGTCTTTGCTGCTGTTCCACATGCTTAACCTTCTCAAGCTTCTCCTAAAAATAAATCATGCATTTAAAATGCTATTATCTGTGAAATTCTAACAGGAAATCATGAAAATAAGTACAGTTATATATGAAGATTTTACCTTGATATGTGTAATAGATTCCTTTAGAAAAATAAAAAAAAATAAAAATAAGATTTAGTTTTGATTAATAATTCTTAGTTTTCAATATATATCAGAAAATAAAGGCTTCAAAAGTTAATAGAGACACTTTCACTTGCTAGTGTCCTTAAGTTAGGATAATGACTACAACTTTTATATTTAAACCATTCTATAAAGCCTCTCATATTTAAAAAAAACCTGTCATATAAAAAAGTCAGATGAATTTAGTCAAGACAGAAAAGAAAATTGATGATCATTGTGCAACAATAAGCTTCTAATGGAAGCTAATTTCTCTCTACAATCATGGTCCTTTTACTAATAACAAATGATGCCTAAAACACCATCTGATTATAAGAAGGAAAAAACTAATTGAAAACAGCATAACAGCATTTGGTGCATTATACTAGTCATTATTAGTTCACTTGTTAATGTGTTCAGTTTCAAATAAACTATAAGAAATCAATACACCCCCTAAAATTCTCAAGACTTTGTGAAGAGACAATATATATTGTCACACCATTTACTAAACAGATGACAACATTGTCAAGAGTGGTGCAAGGACAAATGTCCACCTGACTCTCTTGAGTAGATTAAGCTCTCACCAAATTCCACTGGCTTTTATTTATCAAAGTGACAACTCTAAGAAAAACAAAATGTGTCCTAAACATGTTTGCTTACCCACTACACTTCAAGCTCTTGGTTTCACTGATGTCCTAATCTAGTTTGTATCATAGCTCCTAATCAGTGTCTGATGCACAGAAATCACTCAATAAATGTTAAAAGGTCAGAGTACAGAAAGCTCAAGACAGAAAACAGAGCTGTATGATCCATAGAAAATGGGATGGGGAAGCAGTGACACAATTTCAAGTAGGAAGCCCACTTAGAAAGTTCTAGAGTACTAAATTCTCCAGGCATTTTTTCTGTCTTTCAACATATATAAAGGGAATTTACATCAGAATTTGCATGTCATATGTGGCTACATTAGCATAATTACTGTGATGTAACACAATACAAGGCACAGGATTTTATAGTTCTACAATTGGAAACTGCCTCTAAAAATCATTCTTACCTCACTGCTTGAAGTCTGTAAAGAAAAAGAAAAAGAAAAAATCAGCATTAAATCTACTAGATCATCAGAAAATGTTTTTATTTTATGGATGGAAAAAATGTTTTCAAAAAAAACTTACCTCAGTGGATACACTGAGTTCTTCCTTCTATAAAGAAAAGTAACAAGTCCATTTAGAGTCTGTAGATAATTCATTATCATACATTTACTCTTTTTATGCACTTTATATAGCATTCTTTTAAAAAGTTGGGGAAGGCTTTTTAAAATTTGCATGTCTTTGTACAGACATTAAAAGTAAAATTTTTATTATGTTTCATATTTAGTAAATTTAAATTGGTATACTTCTAATCACCTGAATTGAGAATAGATTTGGGAAGGATAACAGAAATGTAGTTACTTTAATTTCTATTAAATACTTTTTGTTATGATTATGAGTATACTTATGATTATGATTATGATTATTGCCTGTATTCTGTCCTCTGGTAGTCTTTGGATAAATTCAAAAAGAATTTGGCCCACTTCTCTACTGCAAGAGACATATATGTTTGAACAGTTTAATAAGATATATTTATATAATTTATGCATGCATAAAATTGTGTAATTCTACATAGTTATTTGCTGTTTTTCTTTCTTTTTTTGTCTTGTTTTGTTACTAAGTATTTGTTTGCTTTTCCTTTAGCTACAGGGGGACATTGGAGTAGAAAACATTTGTCCCAGGTTTGAGACCCCACAGGAAAATTGAAAAAGTAGATAAGAGTGAATGATTTTCATAGACACCAAAACAAAAAAACAAAAAAGCTGAAAATTCCATTATTTGTATGCTAACATTATTGGTGATATTATTTTCTACATTAGGAAGGTCAACCTCTCTATATGTTAGTTTTTTAGGAATTTTCTCTGTACATACCTCCCTTGCAAGAGCAAGAGCCACAAGGCAGGCAAGGATAAGGACCTTCATGGCTACCACGTCCTGTGAATGGGGAAATGAGAGATGGCATAGTCAGTCAGACATATTTTCTTATTTAGGTAGAGTTATTTTTCCTTTAAAAAAATAAAAAATAATATAATACCATGCTTTCATTTTAAGGAAATATACTATTGGAAGTTCTATCCTGTAACTAGTCAAAAATCTACTTTGGCTTCCTACACCTAAATATTAAATTCAGTCTATTCAGATTTTTAGCTCATGGATCTCCAGTCTTTTTATATTTAAGTTCACTCAGAGTGTTATATTTTGGGTTTTTAAATGTATAAAAATATATAAAAAGTTACAGAAAGATTTATTTGTTCATTTTCTATGAAATATTTACTTCGCACTTTAATTGCCAGACACTGCCTAGGTACTGGGGATAGAGCAAATCGCAAACCTGATAGAGCCTCAATTCTACTGCAAAGTACTCATTTCTACTGCTGAATAATTTTTATGTTTATTTTTCTTCTACTTAATAATGCCATTAACATTTAGTTTAATCACACCTTCTCATGTCCAATAAGACTATTGTTTTCATTGTAGCAGGTTTTGTTTGTTTGTTTTGTTACACTCTCCAGATAGATGCTTTCTTTGACAAATAGATTTGTTTCTTCTTCATTCATACTCACTATGCAGTCTTGATCCTTACATATCTAATGTATCTTCTCGTGTGTTCCAGGACATTGGAGATAATACATTATTTTACCTCTTTTCTGTATAAAATGTGCTCATTGATATATTGATGATTGATCCAAAGGTCAAATTCTATTGCCCACTTCCAATGCCAAGGCTACCTCTTCTTATGAAATAAATCTTAACATTATTTATGAAATATACTAAATGGCCTTTGTGCTTGATTTTCTTGTATTTCATATAATGAATTTCAAAAAATAATTTTTATGTCATAATATCATTTGACAGTTTTTTATTTTCAGATTTTTAAACTAAATGTCTTAACTAACACAGCGCATGAAAAAAATGTTTCTAATTTTCTGCAAAACATTATCTCTAATATTTGAAGACTGAAATTCTGCCAGTGAAAAAATATATTTTCAGATTTTTCTAATGAATGTTATATAATTCTGAATTAATTTTACCTTTCCTAAGATCTCAAAAAAATTCAAAATAATTTTAATTGTCAGAGTTCAAAAAAGTATGTAATACTCCATTATAGATTATGATATGGAGAGTGTATCCCATTGCATTTATATATTTTATTCTCAACATTTTGTACACCAGATTTTTAAGTCAGAATTGTATTATTGACTGAAATTATATAAGCTAATCTTCTTTCATTCATTTTCTTACAAAGTAGGACACTTTCTTTTTAGCTTACTTATTTTAATGTTGTTTCAAATATTGTAGGCTAGATGATAAACTGCGAAGTTGAAGGTACTGGACAAGTTTGATGACTATGGTCTTCTTCCATAATGATGTTTATAAATATTTAAAGTATTGCATGTTCCCACACCACTACCTTCATTTCTTGACTCAATATGCTAACTCTATAAGCTATTAGACAAGGGCTTTCCCAATAAATATTCATTACCTCATAATATATTTAAATATATTTATTTTTACAACTGAGATATGTTGAATCAAATTGGAAGAATTAGCAAACCAGTCATTAATTGGCTCTTAATACTATTAACTATCCTTATACTAAAGATATATGCTATCTTTAGTGTATATATACATGTATGTATATATACATGTATACATAAAATATATATCCACTCAGTGTGAATTACATTTTCTTGGACTCAATAAACCTACAGAGCCATTATAGTCTTTCTAGGCATTCCATCATTTCTAAAATAAATGTTAAAAATAGCTTCAGCACTACCTTAAATACCTTTATTCTAAAACTGTACTTTAATCAATTACTTTCTTTCCAAAGAACAACCTAGTGTGCAATAAATAATAAGGAAGGTATACTCAAAATTTATAGCTGAATTTCTTACCTTTTTCCAAAGTGGAGGATAGGATGTGAAGGTGAAGCTGGGTAGATGATGGTCTATCTGCTTTTGTAGCTCTATATATATTGAATTTAATGACATGCTAATTTTGTGGTTTGAAATGAATTCAACATTAAGCTTCAATTCCAAGAAGTTTGCATGATTAGAAAGTGATTTCTGTTCAGTATCTGTCCCCAGAAATTCTGGGGAGCATTGTAACAAAGGGGTAATTCACAAGCTGATAAAGGAAACTTGTCCAGGAAATGCAATTGCTCACTAACAATGACTGGAGCACGGTGACACTCTGCCATAGTCCCCAAGTTATTGTGGGCACCATTTGATGTGTTAGGGTCTAATGGGGACTTAAGAACACAGTCATGGGGGCAGTTTTACATGAACAACATAGATACACAGGGCTTCACAAAGACCCCAATTTCATGTTAACTTGAGCAGTTAGTGCTTTGTACTGCTGTGAAGTAGCTAACAAGTCTATGGTGAGAGCTTAGTCAGGTGGGGAAAACTGTTTAACACCCAGGGACACTTGACTTATGAAAAATATATAATTCAATTCAAGCCAACACTTTTTTAACAAAAGAAAAAAATATGCCTTTCTCTATAGTAAACAAATCAGAGAAGAAATATGTATGGCTGGTATAGGCAAAATCCTCATTAAAACTGTCATAGAAATTTTGCAAAATTTCATGAGATCAATTCATCTGAAAAATATTGATTATATTTTCTATTTTGAGTTTAATAATTAAAATAATAATCATGTCTATCTTTTCCTTAGTATTAACCCTATTCTGGGTCCTAAGTATTTTGTAGATCAATATTTGTATCTTTCCCAAAACAGCATAAGTTAGCTCTTCTTAACAGCAAAAGTTATATAACATTCTCAAAATTATATTCTTTGTTAATAACCAAGATACCATTTACATTCAGATGTGTCTAAGTCCCATATACCATGTTTTACTTTCTGAAATTTTGTTATTAAAGTTAGCTGTCAATGTAGCGTTTTGGCTTCAATGTGCAAAACTTAATTATGGCTAGTAGAGAAATGGAATATCTGTGTTACATGCAAGCAGGGGAGTTTGTCATTAAAGAGCTGCTACTTTAGTTATAATTAAATTACAAGTCTCATTCTGAGATGTGATTGATTGAATGGCAATTCAGTATTTTGATTAAAGGAAATAGATACACTTGAAGCAATGTAACAACTGTAAGGTTACATAGAAGATATAGAGTACAACTTATTATTGCAGATAATTGATGCAGTTATAACTTGGATGCCTGTGAATTTCAAGTATGTAGTGTGACAAAATTCACCAGATACAGAAAAACATTAGACATTTGAAATAAAAAAGGATTATGTAATGTTTTTATTTTATGGCTTTGTGTCCATCATCAAAGGTGATCGTTGTATAATGTTATTATAGTAGTTGAGTATAGGCAATTGGATGCCCTCAATTAGGGAGATGGTGCTGGACATCTTGCACAACAGAAAGGCAAACATTAAAATAGAAGGAATTTGAAAACTTAGGATAATTAATGAATTAACTATGCCAGTTATGCCAGGATGATTAAAAAGTTAACCATGTCATAAAACAAGATATGAAAAGGTAAAATTGTAAAGGGAATACTAAATTAATCTTGTATGTGATAAGTTTGAGTTATCCAACCTGAGGTGTTGTAAATTAAATTTTACATTCAAGGAAGAAGTCAAAAGTATAATTGAGGAAATTATTTTACCTCAAAGAGTAAATAAATATCCCTAGTGAAAAGAAAAGAAATCATCTAAGAATATAATTCAAATATGCCCAGGAGAAAATAGAGTATCAACAAGATTGTTCAGTCTCTCACTTTCTTCTCCTTGATGCTTTGCATTGCTAGAAGAAGCAAGTGGCGTCAAAAGTGGCAATGATTCAAGATGTGCAGCAGGTGACATTGTCAATTCGACTATTGAAATGTACTCTAAATGATTAAAAAGTAATTTGTGAAAAATTAAAAGTAACACATGTATCCTGCTTTTCTGACAAATTTAGAGTAAGAGGTAAAGAGAATTATAGACTATGAGACCATTTGGATAGGGACAACTAGAATCATAGGAAGGTGACTTTAAGGTAGGGAAGACTAGTAACTTATAGAGGTCAATGGAGAAACAGTTGAAACACAATAAAGGAGTGGGAATAAATCAATGGTATGAATTTCTCTGGTAACACCAGAACTGTAGTAAAAAAATAAGACCTATATAACATGTGCCAATTTTCCTAAGACAAGAGAAAATGAGGAAGAGATGAGTAAATATAATGCATATTTTGAGATATGAGGTAGAGAAAATGAAGTTAAATGTTCTTAATATTGTTATTATTCAGAAATTGGGTTTCTCATCTGAAATTTGGGGAAGTAGTTATTTGTTTTCTGATCTCTAAGTGAAATAAGCCAGGAACAAAACAGAAAAAAAACACTGCATGATCTCTAAAAAAGGCTGAATACATAAAAACAGAGTAGAATGACAGTTATCAAGGTTTAGTTGGGGGAAGGATATGGAGATACAAAGTCGCAATTTTATGAATTAGTAGGTCTAGAGATTTAATGTACAGCATGAAGACTACAGTCGATTATATAATACTGTATCATGGAAAGTTTCTGAGAATAGAATTTAGGTCCCCTTAACTCAAGGGGAAAATGATGACTGTGTGAGATACTTTTTATGTTAATTGGTTTGACTATAGCTATCATTTCACTATGTATGCCTGTGTGTATCAATGTGTATTTCACTGTATATGTGTGTATTGTATGCCTTAAATGTGTACAATAAAATACTACTATTTTTACATTTTTGGTGAATATAAATATAAACTGAAAGATTCAAAAGCACCAGTTTTGTTTTTACCCAAGTAGATGTATGACAAGATGATTTAGTAACATACCAGAATACCAAAAAAAAGAATTTGAATGACCAGAGATTGTTACTTTTTTTAAGCAGAGAGTAGGCCTATTGAGAATGAACAGTCTCAAGAGGTACAAGAT